AGGCATAGTCACTACCATCCCATCAAGGTCACTATTGAGGCCTTTCTTTCGCCCTACCTGTCTCCAATATTACAGAAGCTCAAGACTACGTACAAATTGGTCTGGATAGTCCGAGAGAAGCTCTTTCGTTCGACACGTAGAAACACGGCGTCATTGCACGCACATCGTTGTGACACGATTGCATTTCTAGTTGTTCACTGTTGCGGTATAACCTCAGAATTCCCGTTAGATCAGTTATAATCATGGTTGATTAATTACACTTAATTATGGACGAAATACACTCTATTTGATAAAAAAAGAAGACCTACAACTGTTTTAACGGGCTTTTAATTTTTCAACATTATCCCATCTACCTTTTTTTTGTTGTAATGTAAAAATTGAAGCATATTATTTCTCTTTGGAATGAGTCCCCATTTCGAATCCTGTAGGAATGCCCAGGTCAGGCCATGCAGTTCGTGTGAAGCTGGTCCGAAAGGATATCCTCCAAATGCGCTAATATTAGGGACTTTTAGATTCTGCACGACGAGAACGTGGACTGCCCTTTTAAGGCATGTGACTGGCAGTGACGTCACATTGCCTTAAAAGGGCAGTCCACGTTATCGTCGTGCAGAATCTAAAAGTCCCTATTGTCAAAGATGTATTTCCGTGTGCAATATGAAGTGTCTTTTAAGAGTTTAATTGAAGATATTTGCCTTTGTTGCTTGTTATGTTTGTTTTTCTTTGTAGCATTTTTAGCCCATAAAGAAAATCTTCGCCATAATAATCACCTACATGTATGTTGTTGCATTGTATTGTATGAGTTAAGTCTTATTTTGAACGTATTTGCACCCAGGTTGTACGGTAATCATGTACTTTTAAGAATGCTACCAGTTGCCTGATGATTGCTCGCAAGGCGTGAAACTCGGAGTAGCAACCATTTCCACTAGTCTGCCTTATTCAATATATATTTTTGCTCTGCCTTTTATAGGCATTGAGCACTGTACGGAACGATAGATCAAAGCTAAATATAGAGAGAGAGAGAGAGAGAGAGAGAGAGGTATGTAAAGTGCGACCCAGAAAAAACGAAACTGAGAATTATCGATGTTTTATCCTAATTCAATAACAATTATGATCAATGAATGACACATATTTGTAAAGCTTATATCCTCCTCTTTCATTTGATACAACTCATAATAATTTATGATGCATATTTCACGCATGCATGATTAAAAGCAGTTTGAAGGAAGGAAACCAAAAATTCATTTGGCCGGCGGTATATCGAAAGTGTTTTTTTTATTAAGCTTAATATAAACTAAAGTGTTTTCCTATCAAGCTTGGTTTATCGAAAGTGTTTTCTTTGGAGCCTGATATATCGAAAGTGTTCTTCTATCAAGCTTAGATATAATTAAAGTGTTATTCTATCGAACTTGTTATATCCTGGTCGTGGTCATTCTCTTGGTATCATAACCAAAAAATTCGGTGCGTATCAACTTTCAAGACCGATCAGCAACACAAAGTATACTTATTCATGAATGTCACATTCAGTTACTCTTATTACTCTGATAGATTGTACGCTAAATGGGAATATGTATATATATTTTAAATCAGATATTGGGATCATGGCGATATTTTAAGTACGAGATGTGATTTGAGAATTCAATTTTCCGTTTACGTGTTATGTCTATGTGGAGTCTTTTTGGTATATTGGTCAAAGCACTTGTCTTCCATTCTAGAGACCGAGGTTCAATTCCCGGTCGGTTAACTAAGTGTTATGTCCATTGAAATCACCACAAATTACCAAGTTACAAGTTATGTTCATTGTGGTAATAGATGTGTTTTACTTAGTCTTTTGCAGGGATTATACAAGTTTTCAATAATATTTTTTGTTTTGGATCGTGCACTCCAGGGTTTGAAGCTCCCCACTTGGTTCTTTTGTTCTCTCTGTATAATAAGATACAACTATGCTATCATTTCTAGTCTAACACACCCACCTCTGGGAAATGTGTTTCTTATAAATACGAACCATTATAATCCTGAAATGATTTACAGTTCTCGTCTTTAAGCCACGTTTCCTGAATACATATAACATGCGGTTTTTCGTTTAGATTATAAATGTAATGTTGACATTCATCCATGCAATGGATTAAACCGTGTGCATTCCACTGCGCTATGTACAACACTTGGATTGCGTCACCAATCATATTTCTCACTTCTTTTTTTTAAAAGCTTTTTTGCCTTAATTCAGATCTTCATACATTTTGTAATTATACAAAATGATGAATAGGAACACAATTGTTCTTACAGTATAAACATACATGTAGTACATTGTCTCATACAATGTAAACACAGACATATTTTAAAAATATTTTCCATAAGTATCCAAACTAATATAGTACACATTCAAACAAGTGTACAGAATGTGCTCCAATTCCTTTAAAAAAGGAAAAGGTGACGGTAATACTTCATATTTATATTTTTGGATAAAACATTATAAAAAGGAACAATTTTTACAACATAATATGCAAATTAATTAGTTCATTATAAATTGACCAATCTGAACAAAGATTTTCTTATATAAACAAAAAGTATAAGGTGAAGGTGCTGCTTCATAACCCATGATAACAAAATTTGTTATATTTTCATATAATGATATGGTGCATTTTTCATTATAACTATATAAGGGTCTTGTATCAGTGGAGGTCTGTAACTATACCGTTATTTAAACAAATATATATATATATATATATAATATAAAAAACAAGCGAACACGATAGCTGCGTTCTCTCATCCTGCAAGAGCGCCATCAACGTCGTAGGTTCTATTTTTATGTTTAAAATGCCTTTTCTCTTTTCAGTTACTATTTGCACTATGTTTTCCAACTCGTTTTCTGCTTTTGTCAGATATTATTACTATGTATGCCAAAAACTCGACGAAACTGTCCTTTATTTGGATGTGGTTCAAGGGTTATGGAGGGACGTAATGTTCTCTTTGTTTTGGAATTGAACGCATTCCTGTGCCTGCTCCTGATGGAACATTGGGGTCATTCACATAGTCATGATTGTTACCTTGTTGTTATCGTTGTTGGCTTTATTGACGCTATCCATCGATTTCCGCCAAGGTTTGCGTGGGATGGGCGTCTTGTTTTATAGTCATAATCGGCTCAGGATTAGCATTATCAATGGTGTGATTTGGGGTTGAGTTTCTTTGGATACTTATCTCTTTTGAAGCTAGAGCATTCATAACGGGTTTTGTTTTGATTTGTTTACCTGCTTCAGCATAGGAAAGGGTTAGGTCACTTTTCATTTTGAGACGTTTTTTTATTTTTTTTATCCTTGTACTTTGGGCATCTTGGATAAGCTGCCGAGTGTGGGCCTGAACAATTCACGAATTTGGACGCCAATTCTTGATAAGGGCAATCTCCACAACATCTTTATCAACGCTGGCTTTTTGAGCGACATTTTTTGCTCAAATGACCGAATTTTGTCATTTGTAGCAATACATATTTACACTGGATTTTTATGCGGCTTTAAAGTTTGGTAGTACATATGGGAAATCCAAAACGGACTGGAAAAAAAACTTATGTCGACCCCAACGGCCAGCTATAATCATCATCAGGTGAACGCTTATTCCGAGACAGCACGCACTTGGATATGAAGCTCACTATGGTATGCTTTATGAATGTCGTAGATGGTAGTATTGGCGTCAAATTCTACTAAACTTGGTGTTTACTTCGAAACATTGGTGTAGCTACGTGGAGCACAAGAGAGTAACCATGAAAGATATGAATGGTAAGAAGGTGATATCATTTTGTCTAGCAGCGCTTACGTTTTTTTCAATTGGTGAATTTTACCGATTTGATGTCCTTAGGAACAACCAGAACGATATTCACAACGCGCCCCCGATTGCTCCACACTGGTTAATTCGGAATGCTAGCGGAGTAAGAAACAACCTGCTTGAACCAGAAGCTGACGTGGAGAGTTCTTCCCACCTTCAAAATGAAACATCGCAATCTGAAAGTAAGCCACTTTGTTACCGTCAGGTCCAGATATGGAGAGGCAGCGCGAGCCCCCAGACGCCGGAAAAATCTCAATGCCCAGGGCTTGAATGTGGAATTAGCTTGGTCGAGGATAAGAGTTATGAGACCATGGTGAAAAGTGACTCCGTAGTTTTCTTTCATCGATCGCGGTGGGATTGGACAGAGATGCAAAGGAGACGCCCATTAAATCAAGCCTGGGTTTTCTATTCCTTAGAGAGTCCGCGACACACGAACGGAAATGCAATACCACCCAGTAAATATGACCGCATATACAACTACACGATGTCATACAGGCCATCGTCAACGATACACTTACCGTATGGTTTCTATGATGACACCATACCGCAGATTTCTTCTGATAAAAATCGAAATTGGGCCAAGGAGAAAACTGGATTAGTGGCCTGGGCTGGATCCAATTGCGGTACAGCTTCTTGGAGGCGTCATGAATTTGTTAAAACACTTGCAAAGCACGTCAGCGTCGACATGTATGGAGGTTGTGGGAACATAAAGTGTCCTAAGAACTCAGATGACTGCTGGAAGCGCATTAGGAGTCATAAGTTTTACCTGGCAGTGGAAAACAGTGAATGCAGGGACTACATCACAGAAAAGTTCTGGTTTAATTCTCTCAGCCATGACATTGTACCCATCGTCTATGGCCCTCCACGGGGAGATTATGAGCGCGTTGCGCCCCCCAATTCATTTATACATCTACAGGATTTTAAAGATTTTGCTGAGCTCGCCTATTATATACACCTTCTTGATTCAAATGAGACATTGTACAATTCATATTTTGAATGGAAGAAGCAAGGGTCAGTACGGAGCGTTAGAGAAAAGGCACTTAAATCTGCACCATTTATGTGTAAAGTAGTCGCGAAAGTATTGGATTATGAAAAGAAATTAACCGGTCGTTACAAGGGTGAGTACCAGGGAGAGGAAAAGGAGCATCCTTCCATACACGATTTCTGGTCAACCTCTTGCATTAAACCAACCGGCTTCCCACATGATTTCTAATGTCATTCCTGATATATATATATCGATGGGTCAGTGACACAAAGACGTAACTCCATTTTTGCCATTTTAAGAAAAAATAAAGGTGGTTTATGTGTCACTGAACACTTGGGCCTTAACGAGCTAAGTCTACGTTTCACTAGCCTTTGAAATCAATGGGGTGTTGGTGGAGTTCAGGCTCTTCCCCCAAAAAAGATGTAAACATGAGATGGTTTCAGTTCGAGATACTGAATAGAATTATTTATATGAAAGTTGCTTTGTTAATGTATAAATTAGTTACAGATAACTTATGTACATTCTGTAATAACAGTGAAGAAAAGATTAAACATAAATGTTGTTATTATATTTATTCAAACGAAATATGGTCAAAACTTGAGTATTGGCTGTCTCGTAATAATGTACTTATTAAGTTAAAAAAATTAAAATAAATTGTAAAAATAAAAACAGTGCCCTCAACTGTATTATGATTGTAGTAGGAAAGAAAGTTTTGCAGCCAAATGCAAACAGTGTTTGCCAGCTTTTGATCACATAATATCAGCGATAAAGTGTTATTATGACATGGAAAAGTATATGTAAAAACAAATCTGAAAGAAAGAAATATTTGAAAATGTGGTTACTTTTTGCAAATTTTGTCTGATTGTTTATTTTTTCTTAAATTATTTTGCCAAGTAAATCTGTAATATTTTTAAAAAAGTGAACTACAATTCGTAACTGATTTATATATGATGATAAATCAAGTCTTTATTAGAGATTTTGCATACACATAAAACCAGGCCCGTCAACCCAGTGGGTTAGGCGGCAGGTTATAATCAAAACTATATACAATAGCAAAGTACATTAACAATAATAATATAAAATATTCGTCATTGCAATTACAATGTAACAATATGTGTGATAACAAGAAGCACCGGGATAGAGAGAAAGGGAAAGAGAAGAAGTGAAAAGGAGAAATGGAGAAAGTGGTATAGTACAGAACAGGATAAAAGAAGGAGATTGTAACATTATGATGAGGAAGGAAAGATCCCCAAACATGATACATTAATCAATAATGGTATAATGGAATCGAAATAAGTGACGTATGACGGTAAATATTGCCAGTTTGGTACAGAATGGTTACAAGTTCATTGATAAGCAGGAAATGATGACAAATTAATGTATAGAGATTGATAAATTACAATGTGAGGTATTGATCCAATTGCCATGCTGGCTCACGTCTTCCCTGAAATATGACATATATAAGAACTAAACAGAACGGCCTTCAATATTTCGTCCCTGGATTCGGGGTACCTAGCTGAGTTAGTGATTTTGAATATTTCTTTTAGACCAGTGGCGGATGCAGGGGTGGGCTGAAACGGCCGCGGCCCCCCCCCCCTATTGGCGGCGCAACAAAATTGAGAAGGAAAAAGAGGAAATAAAGAAGAAAGAAGGGTCTCCCCCTGCACCCCATCCATGGGTGTCGATCCGTAACTGATACCTATTCATCAGGGGGGATGATCTATTCATTCATCCCCCTGATGAATAGGTATTACGTAAGTATCGACACCCATGACCCCATCTGTAAAGATAGAAGTGGTTCCCAAGACAACCTTTTGTGGTATAAAAGTGGAGAGAGTGTGGTTTTTTTAGTTTAAGCTTCTAACAACCACTCCTGTGGACCTTTTATTATTCATACGTCTTGCTGTCTGCTTCCTCGAGATCACTGGAGCGAAGAATTTTTGTCAAGTTGTCTAGTTGGTCCTGATGTGTATAATGCGTAGACCAGGGGTTCTCAAACTTTTTCTTTGACGGTCCAGAAGCGATTTCTATGAAAGCTGTAAGGTCCGAAATGACACTTGTATACTGAAGATAGTGCTTGTTTTTGGTCTATATCTGATCCAAGGAGAGTTGTTAAAGTTTTTTAAAAAACAGAGCCGCCAGTGCTTCCACTCGTTTAAATAGAGTTTCCTGAAAAAGAACACCCTATATCCTGGTGTTTGAAGGAATTTTCTTAAAACTTTCAAAATGCCTCTTACGTGGATTTCTTATTTGGATGAATCGCTATGACGTTTTAATATATATTAATTATTGAGTGGGCTTATTTTGCTTTCTAATAGATCCATACAACATGGTAGAGCTTGAGGGGCCTGGCAGAGCCTTTTCAAGAGAGAAATTTTCTTTAGGAGAGAAAAAGAGGTTATTTCTAAAACGAAATGAAAGGGCTATTTGACTTTCAAGAGAGAAAATTGTCTATAAGAGAGGAAAAGAGGTTATTTCTAAAATGAAATGAAAGGGCTCTTGTCAAAAAGCCCTTTCATTTCATTTTTTTCTCTCGAGATAAACTCTCTTTCTCTCTTATAGACAACTTTATGAGATGGAATCTTCAATCTGAAGCCTTTTTGTGCTCTTTGAAAATAGCACACTGAATGGGGGCAGTGTAATTTAAATTTCAAGGGATGGATTAGAGTTTTTATCGCTCTTGAAAGTCAAATAGCCCTTTCATTTCATTTTAAAAATAAACTCTAATACATCCCTTGATATTTAAATTGCGCTGCCTCTATTGTGTCCTCTTTTGAAAGAGCACGACAGAGCCCTCAGATTAGGCAGCAAGTAGCAAACCAAACACAACATTCAATGTGATGATGCCCACATCATTGAGTTTGAAACGCACTACTGGTCAAGAATGGTAAAAGAAGCATCTGCATAAAAAGGATGAATCCTTCACTGAATAGGGATTCTTGCTATACACTTTTACCTTTGTGTAAATAATAAAAGGTCCACGGGCGTGGTTGTTAGAAGCTTAAACTACACAAAACTCTCTCTAATTTTGCAGGGGAAGAGCATTTACCGGGAGTCTTTAATAATAAAAGGGATAAATCCTTCACTGAATAGGGATTCTTGCTATATGTTACCTTTCTTCGCTCCAGTGATCTCGAGGCAGCAGACAGCAAGAAATTGTGTAAAATAATTTGCTGTTGCCGGGAGTCTTGCATGGGGCGGAGCCCCAGGAAGTTCTTGAACTTTTTTTATTTTTAGGAAATTCAAAATAGTCGTCATGAGCGATAACAATTGTAATTTCCTCCTTGAGAGTCACAAAGCCTCTCTTTCTCTCTTAAAGACAATGTTATATAACTTCAGTTTTCGTATTGTTGTACTTTCGTCCGCAGACTTCTTAAGCACTAGTCCAGATTCAGTCCGTTCTTTGTTTGTGTGGCTGCAGCGAGGTCGATCTCAAATAAATAGTCTAAACAAAGGCTTCTACGGGAATTGTATCTTTAATTGGAGTTTCATTTATGTTCCAGTAAATTCCGTGAAAACTGTTGATAAATCACAGATAAAGAATATTGAATATAAGTACATCACAGCATCATCAATAAGCAATAAACACATTTTCTTTTAGAAACTCATTAAATAATGTACATTGTGTCATGATCTTTATAACTCATTAAAATAACCCAAGTCACTATTCTAGTCCATCTGTATTAAATGGCTTTACATAAATACAAACTCACACTACAAGTATCACAACTAGACTTCACTATAGCATGTTTAAACAATTAACTAAACAATTATAAATTCTGAATGTCTCCTTAGTGCTTCAGCACTCTCATAATATATCATCAAATTATTAGCAGTATCTTTACTGTTATCATTGTTCTTCATATCAAATCAAATGTACATATTAAACCAGCATGGGCTTACATGTCTTACACTACATACTAACATCAACATATCTCAGTATGAAATACAAAATACACACACTAATTTACACTTTATGTTTCAACAATTCATAGAAATAGATTCAATATACAACAAAACTAACCTCTTTGCCTGACATAATGACAAAACTTAAGACTGAAATCCCCATGATGCGCTGACAAAAAGGGATCCTTAGACCTCAACACAACCATGTTCTTGTAGCCTTCTGAGAGTTTGATATCAAGTGGTTATCAATAGGTGGCGCTATACTAGGCACCTTGCCTGAGGAAGTGCTATTACAAATATATGTGTGTTCATGTCATGCATCAATAATACAAAAACAAATGACTCGGGTGATAACTTAATTAAGTGCAACTGTCACAACAGTTTGTATTGTTCTATCACACGCATTGATCGCACCAGGCGCGGATCCACGGGCCGATTCTACCGGCCCGCCCCCCTAGCCTCCCAGACGGGTAAAAAAATAGGATAGTAACGTAGATTTTACCTACAAAATAAACTATAAAAAGGCCCCCCCCCCCCCGACCTGCCAGTGACACAAATGCGGCATCAAAATATTTCTGCTTCTCTGACCGTAATTAAATGCCTAAAACCTCCTGATCTTCAGGGGGCTCCGCCCCCTGAATCCTCACACCAATTTACGCTCGCTACCCTCTACCTGATCGTAAATCCTTTTGCCCCCCACTTTCATAAACATTCCGCGGGGCCTGTGTATATAATATATACGTATACAACACTGATCTTTATGATGTCTTTAACTTGACATATCTTCTTCTCCCCTTGCAAAGAGAAAGAAAACAATGTCATTAAAAGGGATTAAGCGACAAATAATGATTGCGATTTAAATTGATGCGAATATTTGTTTGAATAAGCACTGCTATTCACCAGAACCTTCTTTGTAAAAACAACTTTTACAAATCTCAGCCATGCTCACTGAGTTGAGACGTTCCATTCAATTTAAAGTACTCATTAAAGAATACACTTCTCCTAATCTGAAAGTGATCTTCAAACACAGTGGCAGGATTGCATGGCTGAGATTTGTCAAAAGTCGGTTTTACAAAGAAGATTCTGGTGAAAAGCATTGCTTATTCAAAAAAAAAAAATCCTTGCATCAATTTGAATCATAATGATCATTTTGTCGCATGACCCTTTTATTAAATAACCTTATTTTCTTTTTTTGTTTGCAGGGGGAGAAGAAGCTATGTCACGTTAAGAAATCATAAAGATCAGTTGTATTATGCGTACAGTACACGCCGAAAATCTCCGCAACACGATTACACGATATATTTTTTGGATAACACGGTTTTACACGATTCACCTGAATCGTGTAACTGTGTAATCGAGTAGATTTACACGATTGAAGATTGTCGCTCTGAATCGTGTAATCGTGTAAATAGTTAAGTGCATTTGTGGGATGATTCGACCAGATGCAACAAACGTGTAACTGTGTAATCGTGTAAATTTACACGATTGAAGACTGTCGCTCTGAATCGTGTAATCGTGTAAATAGTTATCATGGTTTTAAGGGCATTGGAAGGATGATTCGACCAGATGCAACAATCTGTTAATCGTGTCTTGCTTTCACCCTTCGCTTTAACCAAGTAATTGCTTTTTACATTACTTGCCTACATCAGGTAATTACTGTACGTGTATAAACCTCATCACTTTCTACTAACCTGCACCATGAGACAAGGTAGGAAAACGTCAGAAAGAAGAAGACATGATAGATGAAAAGTACAGGAAAAAAGATTTAAAATAAATAAATAATAAAGAAAAAAATCTACGAGGAGAAGGGAACATATAAAAGGAAAATTAGGGTTGAAATGTCACGATAAAGATAAGAAGAAAAACTATGCAAGAGAGAAAAAAGGAAAGCGGAAAAAAAGTTGATCGGAAGAAAAGAAGGGCGAAACATAGTGAAAGAAATAGAAATGAGAAGTAGAAGGCTTTGAAACGCCGGAGAGGAAAAAAAAAAAGATAAGAGTGGAACACAATAAAAGAAAGAGAGGCGAGAAAGATAAGGGGCAGTGGAAAGATATTGAGAGAAAGAGAGAGAGAGAGAGAGAGAGAGAGAGAGAGCGTGAGAAAGAGAGAGAGAGAGAGAGAGAGAGAGAGAGAGGGGGGGATGAAAAAAGCATTAGTTCAAAGAAAAGGGGCACTAATCAGATTTTAATAGGGGCATTAATTGGAGTTGATGGGGGGGGGGGGGCATTTATC